CTTCATTTCTGAAGAAGGGTCCAGACCCGAAACGTCAGCTTTCCTGCTCCACTGATGCTGCTTGGCCTGCTGTGTTCATCCAGCTCTACACCGTGTTATCTCTTAACAGTTCTAAACCATCTTCTTTCTTCAGGAACTGTTTTACACATCTAGCTTTGACCTGGACTTCTGCAAAATGGAAAACAAAATGGCTTACAACGCTTGTGTGTTCTTTTGGCTGAGGGGAAACACCCAATTCTGGATTCCTCTAACTAAAGCCTAATGCACTGCACTGTTTACATTTTTTTTAAACTGTTTACTCAAAAATTCTCCCAACCACTAGCATCCAAGAAATAGCTCTCTTCTACTGCTTTTGTTAAAAACAAGCCATGACTTCAGAAGGCCTTACAAGTTAAACATTAAACACATGCAGGCACACAGAACAAAACCCACATGCTACTAGTTCAAAATCCAAACTCAAAAATAAATGAGATGAAAAGAAATGTACATTAGCATACCTTAACTCACACCTGATGTTATAAAATTTCATTGGGTCTGGAGTCAATATTGAGGGCAACAACATCCAACAAAACTGGCCAACCAACTGTATAAAACTGTTCCATCACCTCTGATGGGCTTGTCCCACCAATGGACATGTGCAAGGATGATAATGGTGTCTGCGACATTGTTAGAAAGGTATGAATCCATATCACTATATCAGGCCATTACTTGACTAGTATGTAGGACAGCTCTCCTATTTTTTGGCACGGGTCTCAAATGCTAGTAAGGAGGGCTGCAGTGCGTGGACACGACTCTGTGTGTCACTGTCATTTCCAGTACCCTGGTCAATGCCAAGGGGTCCATCCGATTTCATTCCTTAAATCAGGTGTGTAATGTAACTCAGTTAGATTTAAGATCGCTATGGAAAAGGATAAGATGGGCCAGAAATAAAATGTTCTCAATTAGGAAAAGGCTAATTTTGCTAAAAAGAAGATACAATTTGGACCAAGTGAACTGGGAGTGGCTATTTTCAGATAAAACTGCATCACAGCAACGGAAGGCATTTAAGGAGGAAATAGCAAAAGTACAGGGCAAATATAACACAGTATGGAGCTGGAGGAACACAGCAGGCTAGGCAGCATCAGAGGAGCAGGAAAGTTGACATTTCAGATCAGGACCCTTCTTCCTTTTTCTGAAGAAGGGTCCCGACCTGAAACGTCAACTTTCCTGCTCCTCTGATGCTGCCTGGCCTGCTGTGTTCCCCCAGCTGCACACTGTGTTATCTCTGACTCCAGCATCTACAATTCTTACTATCTCACAGGGCAAATATGTTCATTTAAAGACAAAGGGTTGGACCGAGACCTGGCAAGGGACATAAGATAAAAGAAGGTCATGACAGATACTGAGGGGTCAATAAGGCAGAGCACCTAAAGGAGGATAAAATGTTCAGGGAGTACGTTAAAAAGAAAATTAAGAAAGCAAAGAGAGTGCATGAGAAAGCATTGGCAGGCAGAATAAAGCAAACTGAAAGATCTAATTACTAGTGAAACAGCAGGGCCCATTACGGACACTACAAGCAATATATGTGTGAACCCGGAAGACATACCTACAGTCCTCAATGAATAGATTGCACCAACGGTAAATGATGATGTAGGTATGGACATCAGGGTGGGGAACTGCATAATTTGATAGGAATTAATAGAGAGAATAGATGTAGTTGCTGGTTTAGCAAATTTAGCATTGGACAAACCCACAGAACCAGATGAGCTGTATCCTAGCCTGTGATGGGAAGAAAGGAAGGATATAACATGGACGCTGGCAGTAATTTCAAATACTCCATGGCCACAGCTAAGGTGTCAGAGACTGGAGAACTGCTAAAGTTGTCCAATTATTACAAAAGTGAGGAAGGGTCAGACTGGGAAATTACAGGCCAATCAGTCTAATCTTAGTAGTAGAGAAGTTGTGAGAAAGAATTCTGAAAGACAGAGATGAGCTTATGAAGACAGAAATCAAAAGAAAACAGGTTTTCATATATAAAATGTATTAATTCAATAGCAAAGACAGTCAATACTTACATCTGGCAGTTTCATAATAAAACCATAGGCATTAGCTTCCTTGGTAGCTTCTTCTATCTCAGTCATGCTGACATTTTGACGACCATAGCGAATGTTTTCAGCTATTGTGGTTGCAAAGAGGACAGGTTCCTGGCTCACAACACCAATCATTTCCCTGAGATGTCTAACATTCAAACTTCGGATATCCTGTCCATCAAGCATAATCTGTCAGAAATAATTGTACATTTACATGAATAATTAGGTTATCACAGATTTTAAAATACTGCATGTGAAGACTATTACCATAATGTCAGGGCTTACTGCAGCAGTGTCCCAGAAATCAAGCCCTGCTATTTCCATGTGAAAGAATTTAATCCAAGTACAGAAAATTCCCAACTTTTACCCCTCCACTTAGACCCAGATTGTCAGAAAGGCAGGCCAGGTTTCTGTAATTAATAAAATGACTCTTTATTACAAATAGATTCTAGCTGCTGGTAAGCAATTGTGAACTGTGGACATATAACTCCACTAGTTAAAACACTAACTCTGCTTCTAAAATCACCCTATATAAATATACAAGCAGACATGAAAAACATTGATGTTATAAGTGGATGGAAAAACTGGGAAGGCATTTCAATGGAGTTTCTGATTAAAAGCAACAACTTACAGCCAAGGGAAAGGAGACTCAGTTGAGGGTTTTTTTATATTGCAGAGGAGGTAACAGTCTCCTTTCAGACGTCTGAAAGCCTCTGCCTATCTCCTTTACACTCATAAGCTATTCAGCTAGATGAGAGCCAATGAAATAGTTGGTGGCAGGCAGAAAAGCCTTCGCCTTCGACTAGTCACCAGTGCACAGACCAATCAGTGACTTGTTATCAGCCAAGTCTCCCTATGCATGCACTCCCTGGCTCCAAGCCTGTCTGCAATAACCTCCAACCATCCACACTGCTTGAACATGCAGCAATGTAAACAGCACTTACAATGAATGTCAGTAGCCTGCTTTTAAAATAAGCAGCAATCCTTCCATAATCCTTGACTTAAGAACTGTCTTTTCCCATTTTAGTCCAAAAACCAAAAGATAATATGCAAATATATAATATGCAAACTGTGCGAACTTTACAGGAGAGCAAGTTGTCAAAAAAGAAGACACATAACACCTCAATCAAAATACATGAAGAGATAGATATTAAAAATAATCAGGATCCCTAGTTGTGTATTAGGCAGCAATAAACAGTGCTTTATATCCTCCCAAAATCAATCTGACCCAGACTACAATACAGTTAGATAATAAAACAAAGAACTGTGGATGCTGAAGAACTGAAACGAAAAATAAAAGTTACTGGGAAAACACAACAGGTCAGGCGGCACCTATAGAGAGAAAGCCAGGTTAACATTTCAAGTCCACTGACCCCTCTTCAGAAATGTTAGTAGTTAGAAAAAGGTTTACCTGATGATGGGCAGTGGGGAGGAAAAGGAGTGACCGGATTGGTGGAGACAGAGCCCAGAAAGAACGAAAGAAAGTTAGGCAGACATTGGGATGTTTGCGAGTAAGTCAGGGAAAGACGTAAAGCTGATAATGGGGACAAAGAGTAGGTGAAAATGGGTTGGCTGTGATGAAAGCAACCCATGTGAGCATGAGGCCTGGAGTGTTGAGAGAGGGGGGAAAAGAACACGAAAGAGGGTGTCCAGGTTCTAAAATTATTGAACTCGATATTGAGTTCTGAAGGCTGCAGGGTCCCCAAATAGAAAATGAGATGCTGTTCTTCTAACTTGTGCTGAGCTTCACTAGAGCATTACAGCAAGTCTGAAACAGAGACGTTGGCCAAGGAACATGGTGTTGTGTTGAACTGGCAAGCAATTGGAAGCTCAGGGTCATTTTTGCGGACAGAGTATAGGTGATCCGCAAAGTGGTTGCCCTGTCTTTGTTTCATCTTCCCAATGCCCAACAAACCACATTGTGAACAGCGAATACAGTAGACTAAACTGAGTGAAGTGCAGGTAAATCACTGCTTCAACTCGAAGGTGTGTCTGGGTCTTGGATACTGAGGAGGGAGGAGGTAAACAAACAAGTATTACACTTTCTGTGGTCGTGTGTGAAGGTGCCGTGGGGCTGTGGGGAGGTGTTGGGAATGGCCCAGGGTACCCTGGAGGAAACAATCCCTGTGAAATGCTGAAAAGGAAGGGGAGGCGAATGTGTATCTAGTAGTTCCATTCCATTGGAGCTGACAGAAATGGCTGCTTAAAGCAGTTTGGATGCGGATGCCGGTGGGTTGGAAAGTGAACACCTGGGAACACTATTGGGTTGTGGGAGGGAAGAGAAGGGGTGCAGGAAATGGCTGAGGGCCCTGACAACCACGTTGGCAGGGAATCGTTGGGTGAGGGAAAAGGTGGAAATGTCTGAGAGCCCTCTGTCTCAGGATAAAAAAATGCACAATAACTACATAGCTTTTTATTTGCTTGCTGTGGCAGCTTTATTAGCTTGTGTGATTGCACACAAAATCTTTGCTCCTTTAAAAATATTACCATTTAACGTCTACAAAGAGCCCCCGATTTAAGAATGTCCAACTTACAAATGCTCGTACTGAAGAACGTGATCCATATAAGGGTGTAATTCTAAAGTTCAAACATATGGGCATTACCTGTACTTGCAAACGGTTACTTTATAATGTTGCATGTTGTGTTCCAACTTACATCGGATTGAAGAACAGAACGCTTCGCATCCCAGGGATGCCTTGTATTTCTATTCCAAATTTTACTTTATCTTTGCTACTAAGAGTTGCAAGAACTTATCCTGCCAATATATCCCCCTGTAGTCTCCATCAACGCTTATCATAATTTATGAGAATCATAGAATCCCCACACCATGCAAACAGGCCATTTGGCCTGAAGAGCGTCCACCCAGACCTACCCCCTCCCCAACCCTATCCCTTCAACTCTGCATTTCCCATAGTTAATCCACCAAGCCTGCACATCTCTGGACACCATGGATAATTTAGCATTGCCAAGCCACCTGACTTGCACATCTTTGAACTGTGGGAAGAAACTGGAGCACCCGGAGGAAACCCACGCAGACATGGGGAGAATGTGCAAACTCCACACAGACAGATAGTCACCCAAGGTGGAATTGAACCTGGGTCCCTGGCGCTGTGAGGCAGTAGTACTAACCACTGAGCCACTGTGCCGACCTATTGTACCTACAGTCTGCTGTCACAAGCAAATTTTGATGTTAATCATCCAATTAATGTCTGCAGATATTTTATGCATCTCTTATCTCAATATCCTATGATTATCTCTGAGTTTGTTTGCTTTGAATCATGCCCTCACACTTCACACTCCTCTTTTGGGTTGTGTTTTCTTTCCCGCAGAAAAGAAATTCAGGTGATGGGCTATAACATGTATCATGTACATTTTTCCTGCAACTTGTGTACACAGCAACGGCACATTATTTCCTGTACACAGCTTTACCGTATAGCTGCTGTTCTTATCTCAAACACCAGATAAAAGGAATGCTGGCTCATGATCTGTCCTGCCTAGCAGTTCAAATTGCCAAATCCTCACTCTCTTGTGTGCAGTCAGAAAAGTTATCCACCAGCTTTCCTGTTGAAAATGCACTGTGTTAAAAGTCTAACCCGGCAAGGATTGTATCCCAGCCAGCACTGGATTTGGAGCTCCTAATTGCTGAACCTGTTTGGTGCTTAGCAACTTTATTTTCCCAGCATGCCAAATGTTGTTAAACACTTTACCATTCCTTCTTCAGGGTCATAGAATCTCTGCAGAAGTTGGATGGTAGTACTCTTACCGCAGCCGCTGCTGCCAACCAGAGCAACTGTTTGCCCGCTTTTCAACTTCAGGTGCAGACCTTTTAATATCTACCACAAAAAGGAAATGAAAAATAAATAAATAAATATTGTGCTGTTAGGATTTAATAAATGTCCAGGCCTTTGTAACCATCTCTTGTTTCTGTTCTGTAAATTTTGGCTTAGATAGACAGGACTGTGAGAAGTTTCATTCATTCAATCTATCCGTACCTAAGTACAGACCAATAGGTCACAAACGTAAGGTGGACAGAAAAATGCCCACGTAAGTGAACCAGAAATAAGAACAGAGACGCTGGAACTATCCGACAACTCAGGCAGCATCTGAAAGTCAAGAAATAGGCTTAGTGGCCTAAATTTTGTTGAGATAGCAGGAGTTCCATTGCTGGAGCTAAAAGCAGGGTGACTCAGCAGGGATGATGCAGCTCTGGCTGATGGCAGAGGGACGGACTTTGTCGTTGGTAGTTCATTAAATGGCTCCCACTCAATTAAGAATGTTGACTTCATCCAGGGTCCAGTAATACCATCACTAATGTTGGCTATTGCTGAGGCTGCAGCTGCAGTCAAAAACACCTAGATGGTTGGACACCCTTGAGGTAGGCTAAACATCGTTGAGGAGTGCTGGGGTCAGGCAAGGTTGCCCTGGAGAGCTGGGCCCCAGAGCAACCACTGATATTGCAGGGCGTCTCCATGATCCAGTGACCCATCCTCAGAGCTTGCTAGTCTCCACATGAGGTGGCAGGCTCTTCTGACCGGATACCTGTAGGCAGGAAACAGCTCTTAAACAATCTCTTCCCGAGCGACTCAGATGGGATCCTGGCAGACATCAGAGCTTCTAACCTTTCAAAATGGCACGGCAGCAAGGTGGTGTCAGGAAGACATTCAACCCCACTCTTCTAACCATCACCACCACCATCACCCCAAATACAGAACCTTCCTGTGACACTTTGCAAACCTTCCCATACCCAGGACATCTGCAAAGGGCCTGTTTCAGATCAAAAGGCTTCATCAGAACATTACACAAAAGTATAATATCATGGGAGTACTTTGACTGAATTCTCCAAGTCCCGTCTAATTAAGCCAATATTTTCAGAACAGAAATAAAACATGGTCACATGAGCATTGACATTTATTAAAGCAGCAAGTCTACTTTTAATAGTTTAATTGGAGTAAAAACTCTTTATTTTAATAGATAGAAAATAAAGTGTTGCAATTTCTGTACCCAAAGAATTAAAATGTGTCCTACCTCAACATCAGGCCTTGAAGGGTATTTGAAGCGTACATTTATAAATTCCACGTCTCCTTTGACTTGATCAGGTTTATGTCCATTTTCTGAAAAACTATCAATTAATGGTTCCTGCATGATGAAGAAAAAGTAGCATAATTAAGTAAGATCTCATAGATTTATTCTTGATTAAAAAAAGCATTTGCCAAGTTGCATACAATACAAATAAATATAGAAGACATAGCCCTAAGAATTTTAATAGTCATAATGAAAATCCAAAAATCCAAACAGGAAGTGCAGTCCACAGCCCATCCGCAGTTGGGGGGCGTGGGGAGCAGGTTCTATCAACAGAACCTCTAAGAGGTCATCAGGTTTCACTGGGTCATTTCCCCACAAGATGTTTCCTTCCTCCCACCACCCAATGTGGGAATATTGCCAGTAGAAGCAGGATGTAACCCTTGATAGCACAGATTCCTTCTGGGTGGGTGGCCAACTTTCCAATTTTCATGTCGCTGACAAAACCGCAAGGTGATAAGAACATGCCAGGTTACCCCAACATCAAGCATATGCCAAGTTGTTTAAGACTATGGCCCAAATGCTGGAAAAGGAGGTTAGATTAGTTAGGTGCTTGTTTTTGACCAGTGCAGACTTGATGGGCTGAACAGCCTTCTTCTGTGCTGTAGGTGTCTATGACTTTACAGCATTATTTTGCCATCCTTTCTGTTTTACAGCACATCTCCAAGGGTGGCAGAAAAATTACCTTATCCACTGTTTGGTGCTGAACATTCAAACTAAATGTTTCTGAGGAGAACCACAAAGTTAAATCGTTTAAAGTTTTGGCAAAGATCTGTAGCTCGGGTTGTGGGTGAGGTTGTTGACTTGCTCGCTGAGCTGGTTTGCTCTTGTTCAGACGTTTCATCACCATGCTAGGTAACATCGTCAGTGGGGCCTCCGATGAAGCGATGTTATTCTACTCCACTTGGAATTTATACTGTTTGGTCCGTTATGGTGAGCACTGTCATTTCTAGTTTTGATCTGTATGCGTTTGTATATGGGGTCCAATTCTATATGTTTGTTGATTGAAGGATGGGTGAAGAACCATGCCTCTAGGAATTCCCGTGCGTGTCTATGTTTGGGTTGGGCTAATATGGTTACCATGTCCCAGTTAAACTGATGGCCTTCACTGTCTGAATATACCAATATTAAGGAGAGTTCATTGTGCCGTTTTGCCGATAATTAATGTTCGTGTATTCTGATGGCTAGTTTCCTTCCTGTTTGTCTGATGTAATGTTTATGGCAGTTGTTGCATGGTATTTTGTAAACTTTCAGAACTGACAACAAGACTCCTAAGACCCCTAGGAATCATGGTAGCACACAAGCCCATAGCCACTCTACGACAAACACTCACAAGGATTAAAGACCCCATTCCCACAACATGCAGAACAAACGTAGTTTACAAAATACCATGCAACGACTGCCACAAACATTACATCGGACAGACAGGGAGCAAACTAGCCATCAGAATACGTGAACATCAACTATCAGCAAAACGGCACGACGAACTCTCCTTAATATCAGTACACTGAAGGCCATCAGTTTAACTGGGACATGGTAACCATAGTAGCCCAAGCCAACAGACACGCATGGGAATTCCTAGGGGCATGGTTCTCTACCCGTAATACAATCAACAAACATACAGAATTGGACCCCATATACAAACCCATACAGATCAAAACCAGAAATGACACTACTCACCATAACGGACCAAACAGTATAAATTCCAAGTGGAGTAGAACAACATCGCTTCATCGGAGGCTCCACTGATGATGTTACCTAGCATGGTGATGAAACGTCTGAATGAAATCAAGCCAGCTCGGTGAGCAAGTCAACAACCTCAAAGTTAAATAGTTCATAAAATTCAGATTATTAAAGTCTAAGGTTTCTTAAACTTCCCTTTACTTTAAGATAAGGAGGAATTGGTTATTGTAATTGTATAATTACTTAATAATTTTTCATCCATGTCTGAATCTCATCCTTTACTTGTGTTTGGTTTTTGGCCTTGCAAAAGGTAGGATCTGAGTGCTTATTCTCCAAAAGTCCAGAAGAAGGGGTGCATTCCTCACCTGAGGGTCCCCTCCTCCTTACCAGACCAATGTGAGTGGCCTGCATTACTGACTGTAGATGCCAGTGAGTAGCAGAACAGAGTCTTAATTGACTTGTTAAATTCTAATCATTGCCCTTCACTGGCGTACCAGTCCCTGAGTCACTCTCATTTACAAAGGCTCAGGCTCAGATCTATTGTGGCAAAATAGTACAGAGACTAGCAGCGTCAAATTACACACCTGCCTCACTGCAATCCAGACCATGAAGCCAAGCTGTAATTTTGAACAGTGCTGATTAAGGAGGGCACTACAATTACAGCTTCAACAGGTTACTCTCCTGACTCCAAACATCCTCCATAGACAGGCATCTCGAAGGAACTGAACACTTGCTTCTCACAAAACCCCAGCTTGAAATGAAGCGAGGGATGGGGAGAGAATCCAACAGGTGAAATGGAGCCCAACAGGAGTTTCAACCTGCATCCAGGGATCTTGAGACTTAAGATGTACTGTACAAGATTAATCTTTACTCTCCCAATTGCAGGTCACACAAAAATGCATTCTGCGGGTAAAATTTGATGTTTGAATGTGATTTGTTTCCTTTACAAGCTTTTCCCATTCCAACTTCAATGGAACGCATGGTCACCTGATCCAAGATGTTGAAGATCACATAAGCTGCTCCCCTTGCATTGCCGAGCGCTTCAATGTTTGGTGAAGTCTGGCCGATAGAAAACGCACCAATCAGCACTGAAAAGAACACCTAAAGATTTAAAAAACAAGAAAAATGTTGAAAAGGGGGCTACTGCCAAAAGAATACTGTAATTGCTATTTGTCCATTCTCGAATTGAATATCATCGTTTATTTGTTGCTCCTCTAAAAATCTTAGGGTAGAAATTAGTCTAGACTTGTTTTTGGCTGTGCAGTGCCTACCAGAAAAGAGAAGCCTGGGACAAGGCTGAATATGCCCTCATCTGAATATTCTAGGCACATAAAAAACCTCACCGGGCAGGTCACTCCTCAGGGCTATTAAACTTGGAGCCAATTGCCTCACCGGCAGCGAAATCTTGATTTGTGCACATGGTACCGAATTCTCAATTTGCATACACTTTAGTGCTGGGAGCACTATGTTATAAAACCTTATCCCACTGTAAACTCAACGGCACGTTAGTAATTTACCCACCTCCAAGGTCAGACTGACAGGCCTATCATTTTTGGCCTATCCTCCACATCACTTTTGAATAAATGCACAATGTTCACAGACCTCCTATCATCTGATACTTTGCCTATATCTAGGATTTTCAATTCTAGTGAGATATTTCCTCACTGACTTCCTTTAATAGACTAAGATACAGGGAGAGGTGATGGTCTAGTGGTGATATTGCTGGCCTGTTAATCCAGCAACCCAGGTAATGCTCTAAGAACCTGGGTTCAAATCCTGCCAGGGCCGATAGTGGAATTTGAATTCAATGAGTATCTGGAATGGTGACCATGAGCCTGGTTCACTATTGCCCGTTGGGGAAGGAAATGTGCCGTCTTTACCTGGTCTGGTCTTCATGTGACCCCAGACACGCAGCAATGTGGTTGACTCTTAACTGCCCCCGAGCAATAAATTCATCCTATGAATGAATGATACAATAAAATCCGGCCCTGGCAAATTATCCATGTTCAAGGAGGTCAGCCCCTCTGCTTATCACTCCTCCTTTTTAACTCCGTCATTCTGCTGCTTTGTAAAGACAGAGGCAAAGTGCTCATTTAAGAATCTTCCAACTTTTTCTGCCTCACTTTCTGTCATAATCCCTATGCTCTTGAAGTACTGATAAAATATCTTTGGATTTTCCTTAAGTGGCAAATTGGTACAGGGGCTGAGGAAGAAGTGTGGAAGGACTATAGTGATAGGGGATGATTTAGTGAAGGGAGTAGACAGGCATTTCTGCAGGCAATATTGCAACTCCAAGATGCTGCGTTCGTTCCCAGGTGCCAGTGTCAACTATGCCATGATCCCACGTTGGGGCCAATAACATGGGAAGAAATAGAAATGAGGCCCATGCAAGCAGAATTTATGCGGTTAGGTAGGAAATTGAAAAGTAGGACTTCAAAAGTTATAATCCCTGGATTACTCCCAGTGCCATGTAGTCGCAAGTACGGGCATAGACGGATAGAGCACGGCTGGAAAGATGGTGCAGGAAGGAGGGCTTCAGATTCCCAATGGTTTGGGACCATTTCTATTAAAGGTGCTATCTGTACACGTTGGACAGGTTACATCTGAATAAGAACAAGACCAACATCATCGTACAGAGTTTTGCTAAAGCTGTTGAAGTAAATTTAAACTAGATTGGCAGGGAGATGGGATTCTGACAAGCAGTTCAGAGGGGAGATCAGCTGAAATGGAATTAGAAGATAAAACAATGGGCTGTGGTCCCAGGTTATGTAGTAAGCCATTTTTATCAGAGCACAACGAACCTGTGGAATTTTCAACCATAAAGGCTGTGACAGGAAAGTCACACAATTTACTTAAGAAAGAAATAGATGGAATTCTAGAGGAGAAAGTGTAAAAGAGGTTACTGGAGAGAGAAATATGATATGAGATCAGTCATGATTATGTTGAATAGTGGAGTGGGCTCAATGGGTCGAATGGCCTACACCTGCTACTGTTTTGTGTGTTTTCTTGTAAGAGTCCAGTTTCCGCTTGGAAGGAAAAAGAAATCTGTTGCATGGAGTTTTGTGAATAAAGCTACACAGACAAATTGATCTCTGCCTTTTCTTCGGCTAGACGGTTGTTTACCAGATGAACATTCCAGTCAGACACCAATATGTAAATTAAGTGCTTAATGTTTACTGAAGAAACCATTCTACAAATTAGTTCTCCATGGAACGGGAGGCTTTGGGTCTGTTCTGCTCAAAATCCTTCAACAGTCTCTTGTTGGTGCTAATACAAAGAAAGCTGTGAACATTTGAAAAAGAGAGTCAGGAGGAGCAGGAATGATCACTGAGTTCACAAACACCCATCCCAACCCTGCAGCCCACTGGAACCTCACTGCCTGGGACTTAGCTGAGGACTGCTAACACAAAGTAGCTCCTTTCTGACTTGATATGACTGTGGAGACATGACCAAATCAGGAACTGTCTTGAGGATCAACCAAAGTTATTCTTTGAGTCTCCAGTTTAGGACATATGTAAAGCAATATGTCGCAATGAGCCTCATTTGGCTCTAGGCTAATTTATACCCCATGTGGTTGAAATGGGAAAGAGAAACAAACAAAATAAGAATTAGAATAAGGAGAACAGAAAAACAACTTTTAGAATCATAATCCTTACAGGCATTTCTCAGTGTTTAACATTGCATGAAATGTCACTTACTGTTAGCACTTTTCCAATTGTATAATTCTCAGTCAGTATCAGGGTACTTCCATACCAGAATGCCAGAGCATACGATGCATAGATGATTAAGAAGGTGAAAGCCACCGCTACATTGCTGCTAATTAACTTTTTGATTCCAACTTTCTCAGCTTCAATCAATTTCTCCTGATACCTTTATGAAAAAAAAGTGAATATAATTTGTAATGGGCACAATAATCCAACCACTACACCACTCTGGTTCATCTTTACAACAGGGTAAATGAGAAACTTTTCCAACCACTTACTTTTGTTCTGATCTAACTGGGACACACAGTTAGAAAAACTACATTTTAAGATATAGCGTAGAGATGTATCAGACAGAGAACACAAAAGTTCAGGTGAAAATTCACTGCCTGCAAGTTATCCTGATGAACAGATTTAGCTTCCAGTCGAGCAGGTAAGAAGCTGCAACTGCAACAGGAATTTGCGGGGTTGAGGTGAGTGGGATGCAATCCCTATCCTGGGTTAGGATGGGATTGAGGATTGATGGTGACTGATACCTGATTTTAGTGTATTTTAACTGTCAACTCCCCAAATCCTAGGTGTGGGCCAGTTGTCTATCCCCCACCTTCCCATAATCTTTAAACCTCGAAGTAGGCATGTTGAAGGTGAATTGAGTTGGATTTGGGATCTCTTCTTAAAATTCAACATCTTACCTCAACCCAAACCATGCAATTGTCAGGGTTAAAATTCAGCCCCCAAAGAATGGGAAGCTAAAAAGCAGTGTAAATTTTGCCTAATTTTAGAATATGGCCTTATGATAAGTACCAATGAATGCTGATTCTCAGTTGGGTGATATATGTCCATTATAAATGTTCACATAGCAAATGGAGAATAAGGAGGGAAAACGTGAAGTTGTTCATTTTGGAAGGGAAAACAAAAGAACAGAATATTACTTAAATGGAAATGAACTGCAGAAAGCTGCAACACAAAGGGTCTTGGGGATACTCGTACATGAAACACAGAAAGCTAGCACTCAGGCACAGCAGGGAATCATGAAGGTTAATGGAATGTTGGCCCTTATTTCAAGGTGTTTGGAGTATAAGAGTAGGGACGTCTTACTGCAATTGTGCAAGGTGCTGGTGAAACCATATCTGAAGCATTGTGAGCTGTTTGGTCCCTTAATTTATGGAAAGATACCATTTCATTGGAGGCAGTTCAGAGAGGGTCACTTGGATGATCCCCGGTATGGAGGGATTGTTTTATGAACAAAGGCTAAACAGGTTGAGACTCTACTCATTGGAGTTTAGAACAACGAAGGATGATCTCATGAAACATATAGGATTCTTAAGGGGCTTGACAGGGGAAATGCTGAGAGGATGTTTCCGCTCATAGGAACAGAAAGCACAACCTCAAAATAAAAGGGGCACCAATTTAAGACTAAGATGAGGAGGAATTTCTTCTCTCACTGCCTTGGAACTCGTTGCCACAGAGAACTGCATGGGCACAGTCCCTATGTATATTTAAGATTGAGATAGATAGATTCTTAATCAGTAAAGGAATCTAGGGTTAAGGAGAAATGTGGAAACGTGGACTCAAGGAATGTTGGATCATAAATGGAGGATCAGGCTTGAGGGGCCAAATTGCCTACTCCTGTTCCTATTTCTTATGGTCTTATTCAGATTGTTCAGAACCCATTCTTTTGCTGCTAGCCAAATGTGCTTCTAAATTCATGCATCAAATTAGGACTGTCATTTCCAACCAATATAATTTCAATTACATCCAGGAAAATACTGCAACAGAACAGGTGAAAACAAATACAGATCTCAATGGGGCTCTTAGGGCACTTGTGATGCAGTGGTAATATCCCTACCTCTTGGAACAGGGTGCCCAGGTTCAAGTTCCACCTGCTCCAGAAGTGTATAATACCATCCCTGAACAGATTGATTAGAACATTACAACAATGGGACTCTGCATGATAAGTAAAACTTTTCATTCAGATTTTGGAATATGGGTTACCAGTTGCCTCTCAGTGAAATGTATTCATGTATATGGGAGGGAAAATAACAGGCAAAAGGTTAGCATAAAAATAGCAAAATAAAAGAAAGACTGCTCCATTTTCCAAGGTTTAAGTCTATATAATAAATGCCTGCATTTGGCTATGATACACAATCAGGGGCTTTACAACTCTCATAAATCCCACTGTAAATTCATAGTTTTTGTGCCATCAGGTACCGTCAACTCTCAGGAACATAAACAAAAAGTCTAACCTTGCAACTTCTTTCTTTTGTCCTCCAAAAGCTACTACAGTCCTGAAACCTGACAATGCCTCCTCAGCCACAGCTCCAGCTTTTGCATAAGCATTTTGTTCTTGTTTTGTGAAGGAAGTCAACAACTAAATCATTTAAAGAAAGGAAAATTAGCTCATGACTCATATCCTTTAAGAAAACATAAATATTAGTGGTCAAACATCATAAAAATACAAGAAAATGTTATTTGTTTGACTGTAGTTCATCTCAACAGTGGCTATTCACGTTACAACTGAATTTGACAGCTGTTTAACTACAGGAGGGTAGAGGAGGGCAAAGAGGGAAGATTTCACACCAAACAGGACTCAATCCCAGTAGTCAAACGATTCAATGTCTCTCGTCAAAATCCCTGGACTCAAGGCTCTTCCAACTTCGAGTGTGGGAAGATCCTCTAAACTGTGCAGAATTAATATACACATCAGTTGAGAGTTCTGAGGAAGGGTCCCTGCGCCCGAAACGTTAACTCTGATTTCTCTTCACAGATGGTAGACAGGCTTTGGGGAGACAGGAAGTGAGTTCTTCACTGCAAATTTCCTAGCCTCTCACCTACTCTTGTAGCCACAATATTTATATGGCTGAAGACAAATTTCTGCAGATGCTGGAAATTTGAAAAACCCAAATTGCTTTGTCCTCGATGATGGCTCTGATATGATTAACACACTATTTGACATCATCATAATCCACATTTCTGTTGTTAATCCCATTACTCTAAATCTCCCTTCCAAGTATTTATCCACCTTCTATCTCCTCTTCATAAGAATAGAATCCCTACAGTATGGAAACAGGACCTTCGGGCAAACAAGTCCACACGACCCTCACAGTATCCCACCCAAACCCATCCTCGCACACTATGGGCAATTTAGCATGGCCAATTCCACCTAGCCTGCACATCTTTGGATTGCGTTGTTGGATTTCCCCAGAGGAAACCCACACAGACACGGGGAGAATGTGCAAACTCCACACACACAGTCGCCCGAGAGTGGAATCGAACCCGGGTCCCTGGCGCTGTGAGACAACAGTGTTAACCACTGAGCCACCATGCTGCCCAAAAGTGGTAGTCTCTGTTGTGCTTTGACTGGTCTCCCGGAACGGTTTCTCATCATATTATGAGGTCCAGAACATTCTACATTCTCCCTTATTTCAGTGGGAATGTTTATCTCCTGACTGGTTGTTGAGTTTTCTTCCTTTTCTGAGAAATAGTTCCACATTTCTATTGCTTTCTTGTTCAATAATATCAATGCATTATAATCTTTCCTTTTTATCCCATGAGCTTTTGCAACCCAATATGATTTTGGTTGTTGTGTTTTACAATGATCATTCCTTTCTGCTTGAAGGCTTATTCATACTTGCTCAGAGTGTAGCTCTGGTAAATCTTGTGATATGAGCCTTTTATTGAAGGTTAGAGGCCAGTTGTCCCTTTGCTCCTCACTCTGCTGTTTCACTCTATTGTGGTCATTGAGTGATGCTAGCTTGTAACTTCTGAGACAGGGAAGGAAATTGTGTCTTCAATATTAATGTAATTATATTTGGGTGTGAATCTCTTCAACTGCTCATTTGCAAACGGGGGGCCATTTTCTGATACTACAATTTTCCAGAATCCCATATTTGAATAGATTCTCTTTAGTAAATTTACCAATGCCACTGCCATGATTTTGCATGGACAGTTTACTTCACCTGCCATAATAGTGTATGATAATGATGAAGTTCTTGCCTTTGAACACAAATGAATCTTCCTTAGGCACTCCCACAGCCTTAATGGGAAAGGTGAGAAGATAGCAGTGTTTTTTTTCTTGTCTAGACCGTTCTCCACTTACAGAATGTAATTAACACCCAATTCCTGTATTAAGTGAGTGTTACCTGGCTGCCTGTTACGCTCTTACACATCACTTTGTAATGCTCAAATTACCTCAAATAATTCTCTAAAAAAAACTCATGTTAAAAATCTATCGGCATAAGTAATCTCTTGCTGAAGACTAACAAATCATCAATGACAGTGATATATCTGTGTTATTCAATGTACTCGTGTAGTATGGGTTTTTTAGGTATATTGTTTGGCCATCCTTGAAGACAGTGCTTCCTGATTGTGATAAATTCTTCATCCTGTTCTTTTGCTTCTCCCATCTCCTGCAGCATTTATTCTGTCGTTGATAAGTGTTGAGTAACTCCTGAAGTATAAGCTTTAAACTCTTCAATTAAGATGAAATCTGCTTGGTCTGTCATATTTGCTGTTATTTGGTACTTCCTCTGTACACATTCAGTCATTGTGTATGGTCTGTCCTATCACACCTCATGTAGTTCAGTCTGAACCTTTGAATTCTGGGTGACAGCTACTTCCTTTGTATTCAGAAGAGAGACCAATGGTTCATGGTCTGTTTCCAGCTTGAACTGTAACTTAGTTACATACTCTGAAAATTTTTCAAATGGTCGCTAATGGTTCTTTATCAATTGTAGCATAACACTGTTCTGTCCCTCTTAGTGATCTAGAGGTATAAAGATTAGTTTCCAATTTCTAACTTTGTGGAACTGAAAGTGTACTGCTTCTAATCCTGCTAAAGATGCATCAGCTTCCACTATGGTTGGTAGATGTGGATCATAGTGTGCTTTAAGTTTTGAATCGATCAGGAGTTGCTTGATTTTCTCAAAAGCTATTTCCAGCACTATTGTGGACCCTTGTGTAGGAGCTATCTCAAAGGCTTGTTAACTTCTGCTGCATTTGGCAAAAAACTTGTCCACTGATTCACCATCGCAAGGAACCTTTGAAGTTTTGTGCTATTCCTAGACAGTGGGCTTTCTCTAATACCTTCAGTTTTTTGCTGTTCTAGCTTAACGCCTGTAGCTTTGGTAATGTATCCATGAAATTATATCTTCAATCATGCAACCTTTAATTTCTCCTTCAGCATTAGACTTGCACTGAGAAGGGCATGCATAACTGTTTCAGTTCTCTAGTCATGTTCTTGAATCCGTTGATTAGTATACCACCCATGTTGCATAATATTCCATCAATACCTTTCAAGGCGTTTTTAATAATTTTCAAAATATTTCTGGCATGGGATCAATTACAAATGGTAATCTGTTAAAGACACAGCTCCCTAAAAGTGTAACAAATATGTTCTAGGCCCAACCACCTTCAGCTGCTTCATCAACAACCATCCCTCCACCATAAGGTCAGAACTGAGGATGGTTGTCGATGATTACACAATGTTTATACCTATTCATGACTGCTCAGATACTGAAGCAGTCCAAGTTCAAATGTTTTAAGATCTGGACAATATGTAGGCTTGGGCTGAAAAGTGACAAGTAACAATTGTGCCATACGAGTGTCAGGGCATCTCCAACAGAAGAAAATCTAATCACACTTAGGAGTTTAATGGCATTACCATCACTGAATCCCTCATTATCATAATTCTGGAGGGTTACCTTTGATCAGAAACCAAACAGGACCAGCACATAACTACTGTGCCTATAGTGAAGGTCAGAAGCAAGGAATACTGCAGCGAGTAACTCACCTCTTGGCTCCCCTAAAGCCTGTCCAACATCTATAAGGCACAAAGCAGAACAGTGATGGAATGCTCTCCACTTGCCTGGTAAGCATAGCTCCAACACCCAAGAAGCAGGACACTAACTGGGATATTGCAGCTGGCTTAAGTGGGACTCAATCCACTACCTTCAACATTCACTCTTTTCACCATCAGTGATAGCAGTGCATACGAGCACGGTGTGTGGTACAGTAACTCACTAAGGGCCTTCTGGTTGCACCTTCCAAACTCTCAACCTCTATATTTAGAAGGACAAGGACATGGATGGATGAGCTGGATGGGATGGATGGGATCACTGCCAACTGCAAATTTTCCTTCAAATCACATATTATCTTAACTTGGAACTATATCACCATTCCTTCACTGTAATTTGGTCAAAATCCTGGAACAGCCTTTCTAACAGCAGTGTGGGTGTTCCTTCCCTCCAAGGACAGGACCGGTTGAGGAGGACAGAGCACCACCAACTCTCCAGGGAGGACAGAGAAAGGGAGGGGAGGGGAGGAGTGGAGAAGAAAGGAGGAGAGAGAGGAGAGGAGAGGAAGTAAACTTTCTGGAGACTTCATTCAGAGGTAATTGCCAAAATCCACTGTTACCATCCGGATTGAAGAATTCAACCGAGTTAAATCCAAACAGATTCTTATCAAACCATTTCACTTTGGCATTGAATTCATACCTGCATATCATCTTACCATGTAGGCATAGTGATTAGTGAAATCACTCCATTCTTTAACTTACGCTCTTATTTCTTGCACATCCCCAATGGATATGCAACTTTTCTCTTTTCTCCTCATTCAATGATGTAATTCAATTCAATTTCCCCAGACCCTAGAACAATGTTGGGAACTCATTTCAAAATTCACTTGTTTGGTCTGCTATCACAAGCAAATCAACCTTACAGATTAAGTTAGGCTTCAAGCATGTTCTCCTGCTTGGTAGAGAATATCCTTTGATTTGGAATGCCAAAGAGAGGTTCCACGATTTCACTTTCCTTGCTTCTGTACCTTGCTGTGAATTGGCCTGTTACATTAAGGATTTTCCTTCGGGACTTTTAAGTCATAGAGGAAGACACTACTTTTATTTGTTTAAACAAATTTAGTTGATCTGATAATATGAGCTCATGTACTGATTTTAAATTCTGTGGGGCGGCATCTATTTATTTCCATTCTGACACTCCAGTATTTGTTTTCAGATAATTGGTTTCACCCAACAAAGGTTCCTTACTGGTCTCGTAGTTTTTCAAACTCTTGATTGTGCCAATACTTTAAAGAATTTTTTTCCCCTTTGCTTGGCCGTTATCTGTAAACAAAACTAACCGGCTCTTTAATAATTATCCATTTTTCCACAGTTGTGGCATTGTGGTCCGCCACTGGGAAGTCTTCCTGACTGTGTGATTTGTCCATACTGCATCAAGGAAGTTTCATGGTATATTAACTGCACTAATTTCCCTTCAAGCATTTACCGTTCTGTTTCCCTCACGATCTGTGCCACTTTCACTAGGATTAAATCCTCTTTAGCCAAGAGGTCTTACAAGGCTTCTTTTGCTACTTCAACTATGATCTGGTCACAAATTAATTCTGTGTTCAACCTCTTTGAAGTGTGATTCTCTGCCACCCTATAAAGATCAGGAACAAACAAAAAAAAATCTGTGCTTTCCGCAGACCGGATTCCTTCTAATAAACTTCACCCACTTGGTAAATTAATTTCTGTGAACACAACTAAGAGTGTGAAATACATCTTTTGGAAGGTGCAGCTTTCTCATCAGTGTGCGGTCTTGCTTATATATTTTTGTGATAGTTCCCACAGTGTAATGTAATGTACTGTTTCTCGCCTCTCCTATCTAGTACTGAAGCAGACCAAGTATTAACATCAGATTCTATGCATTCAACTAATTGGCTTTGAAAACAATTTGCTGTTTTATTCCTAACAATATTATAAAATAGACAGCACACTGCGTTTGTTCCTCATAGATCTCATTAATAAGTGTGGGAAGGCTACCTATAAATCAATCCATTAAGAACAGCAGTTTCTGAACACAAATGTTTTATTCAAACATTTCAGCAAATACAGAAAATACCAGGAACTTAGGATATTCTGTGCATTGTTTTATTTATCCAATTCTTGACCATATTTTAGAATTATATTTTCATTATAGGGTTAATTGCACAGTCTGAAAATTTTATAGTGACTTAAACTTTCACCGCAGTGTGAGATAGCTATATTGACACAAGAATTTCTCCTCGCAAACAGTTTCAAAGTTCGACCAAGCCCTGGGCAAAGATAGTTCTTTCATCAACAGTACCAATTAAGGTTATCAAGAAGGAATTTATTTAACACAGTTTTATGTTTATTTACCTTTGTGTATGTAATAATGAGTAAAGATATGACAAGGTGCATAGGATGTGAGATCATTGACCTCATGGCCATAAAGCTCTGAATACAAAGCAACCAAGTACAGAAATGTTTTAAAACCTGCTGAAAATGTCACACAATGACAACAGGCAACTTCAGAGTCAACACATCCCCTTACATTTTAAAACTCGGCAAATATTTCAAATTATGCTAGAAAAGCTGTATTTATTTCCAGCTATCACACACGCTCTAGAAATCGGCTCAGGCTTTTCTTGTGCCTTATATTTGTTTACTTACAAAAGTCTTCTTAAATCTGAAATCTTAACTTTGCTTTCTCTCCATAGATACTGTCAGACCTGCTGAGTTTTCCCTGCAATTTCTTTTTATTTCAGATTCCTAGCATCAGCAGTTCTTTGGTTTAATTTAATGTCTGCTCATATGATAAAGTTTGACCATGTCTTCAGTAACCTCCCCTAGCTTCTCTCCCAGCTTCTGCTTGGTCTCACTCACTCACTCACTTTCTTTACCTAAAAAGGCATAGGGTTCAATCTAATCTTGATTTCAAACCACACATTTCACCCATTACCAAGTATGAGAGTTTCTATTCCCACCTCTTTCTCAAGTTCCACATTAAGCTCAGACTGCACTGCCACTGAAATCCACATTAAAATTCATTAGAGATGAAAAACTTAAAGTAATGATTTGAAGATGTCTCTTTTTCAAAAAAGGATGGTTGTGAACAGATATTAAGATTTTGTATAACAATCTGGGTTTCAGCTCTGAATCATGCTTCAGTCCCTGTATCAAAAACATTTACTGTATAGAGAGAAATTGCATCTTCTTGCATACTTCATTTGCTGTAAAATGTTGTTGAACGTAGAAGTTGTTATAATAATACAAGTTAATATTTGAGGAGATTGCTGGTGATATGGCAATGTCTGCATCCCATGAACAAAAAAAATTGCTTTGAGTTACAATCTGGTTTTCCTTGCTTAATTCATCTGGAACTGCAAAAAGTAAAAGGGAGGAGCTAATTGGGAAGCAGAGATATTGGCAGAATTTAGTGGAGCCTCCTGCAGTATGTGTGATTCCCAGCAGCTTGAAAACTGATGTGCATTAAGTGTACAAAGGGAGACAGGCTGACTAGCCACAGGATGTCAACAAAAAGGTCCATAAAGAGATTTAATTAGTCCTAAGCCCACTGGGTTTCAATGGTGGCTCAGGGATTAAATTAAACTCATTCAGGTTTCCACTACCTCTAGAATGTTGCCAGCATCCTAATGAAGCTGTGTCCTTCATTCACTGGTGCTTGGTGCTTGACCAAGGGACATATTGAAAGCCATCCCTATGCATTGCATCCAACACCCCACTTTCTCCTTCACTGGCGACCCTCTCTCTTCAACCCACCCTTACTCTCCCGAAATCCTGAGCCCACAGCCTCTGTTTGGCTGACAGTTCACGGGCAGGAGTTCTGCCCCAACTTGGAACTTTTGTTAATACAGGAGGCTTGACTGTGCTGTTGGTAAATATCTGCTTACTTGGTAATGTTAGCGAAGTTCTTGTTCAAAGGTGACACAGGGTTCCTACTGGTTCTCCAAATAGTGAGTAGGACCCCATCACCACAACTAAATTCCACCTATTATTCCTCCAAGAGAAAATGACCATTAGTTTTTTTGTATCATTCTCCACCCTTACCTTGGGAAACAGCTAGATTTGTTAGTGTTTGCTGAACAGATTACAAATAGGTCTCATTATATAAGAGATTTTAAGACCTCATATTCCTCATGAAGAAGATAAAAATAACAGGAAAACACAGCAAATTGACATATTTTATGTGGGATCTACATGCCAGGTCAAACAGTCAAGTTAATTTAGGCAGGAGACTCACTGAGAAGAAAAGGAGTGAGGCTCAGACAGCCATCTGAATTAACATCATTGTCAAGGTTATATTAGATGACATAGTAAGGAAAGTTCTGAAAGTTCTTCTCCAGTAATTTATGAAGTTATTGCTCCTTTTCCATATGATATTGTGCCTGGCAGATTTTGATGTGGATCTTAACAATGATCCAGTGATTACAGCAGGTATTTAGAATTGCACCCGTGAAACATTCATCAACTATTCCAAGAGACATTCCGTGATCGCAAAAGGAGCCTAATTTCCCTGCAAACAGCAGGCATCTACATCACTAGGACCATATTTAACTGTCCACATTAAAATTCGACATAGCTGCCTCTAACAGCACCATTTCAAAATCAGAATCACAATTTCAGATCCTGCAGGAGTAGCACATGTCCCATTAGACAGCTATCATTATTTTTGAATCATTGCATTAATCAAGACAATAATAAGGCTTCTGACCCACAAAGAAACGTTATTATTGACTGGTTCAAAGCATAATCAACCAATGAATGAGCTTCCTTCCATTCTACAGCAGCTGAGAAAAGCTGCAGGAGAAAACATAGAAGAGACATGAGGGCATAATTTTCATATCTCATATGAAATGTAAGACATCATTCAACATGGTTTAAGTAACTACCTTTCTGGACTAATTAAAATACACAGCTAAATACACTAACCTTGGACCAGATTGCTGCAGAAATTCCTAGAACCGGACTCACAGCCAGAATCACCAGTGCTAGTTTCCATCCTTTGATAAAGCCAACCATAAAGCCACCTATAAAGGAGGCCAGTGATTGTATGAGGAAGCCTATTTTATCGCCAATTCCATCACTTATCTTTGAAATATCACTGCAAAACAAAGAGATCATAACTTAAGATCATCATCTGCTAAAATGTCAGTCTACAGCAAGGCATGTTTCACTGTTCAACATATAAAAAATTCTGTTAAACCTATCCCTTTTCCAACTTCAGGCACGAAAGCAGTTCTTGTGCCTTCACATCATCAAAATTATACACTTCCCATTCAAAGTTAATAATAGCACACTCTCCATTCCCACAAACATATAGACAGATATTTTCCCGAATCAACCTGTTCAAAGATGCTAATACACATCTGGAATAGGTTGGACTTGAACTCAGGTCTCCTAGTTCAGAGGTAAGGACATAGCCACTGTACCACAGACGTCCTCCAGGAAATTAAAACCAGATTGTCTGGGCATTCTTAATATGCTGTTTGTAGAAGCTTGTTGTGTGCAAGCAGGTTATTGTGTTCCTTGCCACATTTCAAAAGAATTTAACTGGCTGTAAAGTGAAGTGGAATAACCTGTAGTCACGAAAGGTACCATACAGATGCAAGCCTTCCTTTTGTTTTATAGATGTTTCTTACAAAGCTTTTCACATGAAACAATGAAGTTTATTTTGGGTAGATCCCAAGGCCATACACCATAGGAGCAGAAGCAGCCCAAGTATCAATTAGGTCCCCCCTCATCCTTCTAAACTCCATCGAATATAGACCCAGAGTGCTCAAACGTTCCTCATATGTCAAGCTTTTCATACCTGGAACTATTCTCGTGAACCTCCTCTGAACCCGCTCCAGGGTCAGTACATCTTTCCTGAGATATGGGGCCCAAAACTGTGCACAATACTCCAAATATGGCCTGACCAGAGCCTTATAGAGCCTTGTATGTACATCCCTGCTTTTATATTCAAGTCCTCTCAAAATAAATGCCAAAGTTGCATTTGCCTTCCTAACTGTTGACTCAACCTGCAAGTTTACCTTGAGAGAGACCTGGACTAGAACTCCCAAGTCTCTTTGCACTTCAGACTTCTGAATTTTCTCCCCATTTAGAAATATTAGTCTGTACCTCTATCCTTCCTACGAAAGTGCATGACCTCACACGTTCCCACATTGTACTCCATCTGCCACTTCTTTGCCCATTCTCCTAACCTGTCCAAATCCTTCTGCAGATAACAAGGTGTAGAGCTGGATGAACACAGCAGGCAAGCAGCATCAGAGGAGCAGGAAAGCTGACGTTTTGGGCCTTTCTTCAGAAAAGCATCTGCAGTTCCTACTATCTCTGAAACAAATCCTTCTGCAGCCTCCCCGCATCCTCAATACTACCTGTCCCTCTATCTATCTTTATATAGTCTGCAAACTTAGCCAGAATGCCCTCAGTTCCTTCATCTAGATCATTAATGCATCCTTTATAGTAAATTCTAATGTTTTCTCCAATAACAGACACTATGTTAAGTAGCCTATAGTTACCTGTTTTTTGTCTCCTTAAATAAAAGTGTTATGTTGACAGTTTTCTAATACTCTACAATGTTTCCAGATTCAATGAATTCTTGGAAAATAACCACTTGGAAACTTCTTGGAAAATACTACCAGTGCAACCACTATCTCCGTAGCTACTTCCTTTAATATCCTAGGATGCATCTCTTCGGGTCCAGGAGACTTATAGGTCTTTAGCCCCATTCATATTCCTAGCATTTTTTCTCTAATGATAATTATTGTATTATTTCCTCATTTCCTTCTCCTGCCTAATTATTTAGTAAGTTTAGAATGCTATCAGTGTATTCTACAGTGGTACAAAGTACTTATTCAACACCCCTGCTATTTCCAGGATCCCCCCCATTATTTCCCCAGCCTTGTTTTCTAAAAGGCCCATGTTCACTTTGGCTTTCCTCTTTTTATGTATTTAAAGAAGCTCTTGCAGTCCATCTTGATATTAGTTTTCAGTTTACCCTCAAAGTTTATTTTCTGTCTATTATTTTTATTGATTGTCTTTTGTTGGCTTTTAAAACTTTCCCAATTCACTGCATTACTACTGATCTTTGCCACACTGTATGCTTTTTTTTCTTTCAATGTATTGCTATCTTTAACTTCCCCAGTTAACCATGGTTAGCTCATCCCTTTGACATTTCTAAAAAAAAATGGCTGCCGCTGTGCCTCGACCACATTTGCTGCTAAACTCCATTCCCAGTCCACTCCAATCAGCTCTGCCCTCATCCTTGTGTAATTACCCTTATTTAAGCTTAGCACAGTTGATTCTAACCCAAGCTCCTCTCTCTCAAACTGAATACTAAATTGTACCATTTTATAGTCACGATGGCACGGCAGATCAGTGCTTAACACTGCTGCCTCACAGCGCCAGGGACCCAGGTTTGATTCCACCCTCGGTCGACTGTCTGTGTGGCGTTTGTACATTCTCCCCATGTCTGCATAGATTCCCTCCGGGTATCCAAAGATGTGCAGGTTAGGTGGATTGGTCACAGTAAATTGCCCATAGTGTCCAGGGATGTGCAGGCATGTATTTGCCATGGGAAATTCAGGATTACAGGGATTGGGTGGGAAGCTCTTCAGATGGGCCGAATGGCCTGCTTTCACACTGCAGGGATTGTATCATTTCCAAAGGGATCTTTTACCTTGGATCCAGTGATGTTTAATGAGGTGGGTTTAATGACTCTCTGGTTGAATCCACAACATAATGTTCTAGGAAACTGGCCCAAACGCATTCCATGAGTTCTTCCTCATGGCATCCTCTGGCAAACTGACTATCCTAGTCTACAAGAAGATTAAAGGTACCCATGACTAATGTACTGCCTTTGTTACACATCCTCATTATTTCTGGATTTATTTTCTGTCCCACTGTATAGCTACTATTAGGGGTCTATTGACTACTCCTACTAGTGTTATCTTTCCCTTTTTATTTCTTAATTCCACCCACATGAATTCTACATCTTCCAAATCAAGATCATTTTTTAAAATCATACTTATTCCATCCCATTCCAACAATGCTACCCCATCATCCTTCCCTTCTTATGAAAAGACACACACCCCTGAATGTTTAGTTCCCAGCTGTGATCTCTTGTATCCATGTGTCCGTATAGATGAAAATGTCACACCTGTTAACCAGTATTGTACCATTAATTCATTTTTAAATTCTGAATACTAATAGCATTCAAGTAAAGATCAATTTTGCCTTTTCACTGTTATTTTCCTTTTTTGATCCTATTTACTGCAATTTTTCTATGTTTGCACATTCTGTCCATTCCTGTCACACTCCAAGTATCATTGTAGCTGCCCTGTAATGCTGCCATATCCACTTGCTTTGTAAGCCTACATTTCCCCTCTCCCAAACCAACCTCTAATTAGTTTAAAGCCCTGTCTACAGTGATAGCTATTTTGATTCTCCAGGACCATGGTCCCAGGATGGTTCAAGTGAAGTCCATCCCACCAGGACAGCTCCCTTCTACCCCAGTACTGCTGCCAGTATCCCATGCAAAAGCTATTACGTCAGATATAATAGCAAGATGCATCTGATTGCATATTATTTTGGGAATGGCCAGTGTAAACAGATCTCAAACATGAGTGGCTCACCCAGCCATTTCACAGAGACATTTCAAAGAGCCATTCATATCCCTGCGAACCTGGAGTCACATGTCAGCAATGCCAGATAATTCCGTTCTAATTCAGAGCGCCCCTTGTCATTCCATCCTGTCAACATCAGTACTGCCAAAAACAATTTCCTGCTTTGAATTAAATATCCCTAAAGGGTGAAACAAAAACAAAGTGCTGGACGAGCTCAGCAGGTCTGGCAGCATCTGAGGAGAAAAAGCAGAGTCAATGTTTCAGCTCCAGGTGACCCTTCTTCAGCACTTTGTTTTGGTTTTTTGGTGGCAGTATGGTCCAGGGGAAGATAGGAGGAGGTATCCGAGACAGCCTCCACAATGTAGAGGTCAGTGCTCCAAACAACAACAGCATCACCCTTGTTGGTAGGCTTGATGATGAAGTCAAGATTGGATCGGAGAGCATGGAGTACAGTCAGTTCAGAGGAAGATTGGTTTCAATGGGTTCGAGAGGGTGAAGGGGCAGAGAAATTAAGGTGACTAATGTCACATTGACAGTTCTCAATGAACAGGTAAAGTGCAGGTAAAAGACCAGAGGGAGGGATCCAGGTGGAGGGTGAGAGTGTTGGAGGTGGATGGAGGAGTCTGTGGGACAGGAAGAGGACTCTTGTCCAAAGAAATTGGCACAGAGGCAGAGGAAGAAGAGGATATACTCAGACCCTAACATCTAAGTTGAACTCTGGAAATCATTCAAAATCTAAGCTTCAACCATCACTTCCTTAGTTATCAAATGCTCACTTCACCCTAAAGCAATCTCCCAGGAGAGAGAAGTTAAAAAATCCAGGCCTACCATGGGGCAGAAACCTGGGAAATTCCTTTTGATGACCTCTTTCGGTGACTGAAACTGTTCCAGGAGATCCTTTGGACCCATGTTTGATCAGGGGAGAACAAAAAGGAAAATCTGCAAAATCCCAGAGGGCAGGATAGATCAACTAACAAAAGGTTTTATCTTATAAAACCAAAAAGGAGAAGTAGTGAGACATATGAAGAAGGACAAAAACAGTGGTAATGTCCTTAAACACATAATCCACAAATCCTACCACAGCAGCTACTAGAATTTAAATTCAATTAATAAATGTGGAAGTGCAAATGTTGATGGTAATGGTGACCTTGAAACTATGATGAGTTGTTCAAACCACTGATGTGGTTCCCTGATGTCATTTAGGAAATGAAATTTGCTGACCTGGTTTGGCCATCATGTGACTCCAGATCCACAGTCATGTCAATAATGCTTGTGTATGTAAATGCTCAGTGGCCAAGTTCCAAACCATTACCCATGCATTCACAAAGGCCTCTCAGAGAATGGGCCTTATTAACTTTGCTCTGAAATAGCCAACATAGCTACTCAGTTTTCGGGTAATTCAGGGTGAGCACTAAATGCTGGCCTTGCCATAAACATCCAAATTTCATAAAAGGATAAACAAAAAGAAAATCTCTAAAAGACACGTGAATGACAGGATAGCTTCCATCTCAATATAAAGTGAAGAAAATGAGAAAACTGAGGGCAAAAACTGATTGTTTTTCTAATTCCTCATCCTGATGAAACGTCACAGTGGGATACATTTGGACTGAGTTTTTAATCAAAGATCAGTCCCTTTTATCATGCCCATCACAACCTTCAATTCTATAGTAATAGAAGATCAAAGAGCTGATTCTCGCAGTCCAATTGGGGACTGTAACAAGGCCCTCAGTGCTAAAGGAGCAGTGGGAGGCATTTAGCACTCAGCAATCAGCAGACCCACATTGGAGGAGGTATGGGAGATACCCATCTGAGCATGGAGACCGTGAGAGAGAAGGCCTGGTAAGTTTGTTTTCACTTTTTCTGAATCCACAGTTGACTGGCTGTGATCCTTGAGTGACATCGCTCCAGGAGACAGTCAGCAGCCATAACTATGACCCACAACCATTGGACGTGACCTTACTAGGCACATTATTTGAAAATATTTGGCCTTGTGCTAGACCCCTGCTAACTACTCTAATTAAAAATGGACGTGACCATCACAGCAAGACAAGTCGAAGAAAAACAGAAAGGGTAGCAGCAACCTGTATAAATGGCTTTCTCTGACCTCACAAAGGCCGAAGACAGGGTCAACCAAGAGGAATTATGTAGCACCCTCCTCAACTCTGGCCACCTACAGAAATCCATCACCATCCTCCACCTGCTGCACAGCAACAAAGACCCATGCCATTGCACCAATGCCCCTCTTCATCTTCTTCGCTGCAACACTCCGTCCCATATCCATGAAGGTTCCCGCTGAAGTTGAGCTACATTATAGAACAAGCAGGAAACTGCAGTGATTGCAATGAGGTCAGCCAGGCGGACCTAACAGAATATGAGTTACCTGAATGGGGCTGTTAATCTGGTCCAATCAGGGAGCCCCGGCTGACATATAAGAACAGCAGTATCAGACAACCTGACACTTTGAGAGCTAGGTCTGAGGAAGCTGGATCAGTGTCATGGGTGACCTTGGTGATGGGATACTGGCCTCTGTGGAAATATTTCAGAAACTATTTAACCTGCATCACCTACAGTCCAGAACCAAGGCCATCCCAACTTCTGTCATGGAGCTGCTATCCGTAGATAATGCTTGTATATGCAAATGCTCAGTGGCCAAGCGCCAAGCCACTACCCATGCATTCACAAAGGCCTCTCAGAGAATGGGCCTTAGGCAAAACTGGAAACATGATGCGTTTTACTCTGTTACAAAAGGGAGCAGCAGGTGGTGAAACAAAAAGGTTGACTGGATAGGCGAGTAGGGGAGATTAGATGTCTCATAGAACAAATGGCAAAGATGCTTTTTAATGCAATATTTGGTTGAATACTGCTGGATGTCAAGGGCAGCCATCTTCACCTCACCAATGAAGTTCAGCTGTTTAATCCATGTAAATTATGAACTGCACCAATCCCAGCACAGATCCCTATGGAATGCTAATTTTCACTTTCCTATGGTCTGAGCAGCTACCTTTACCCTTGCTCTTTATTTTCTCTTTGAAGTCAGCTAGCTAACCGTGCTGTCACGTTTCCCTTGGCCTTCCTTAGTCACGAATGTGCTGTGATGTACCTTACTGGTCTGCTACATTACCCTGGTCCGCTCTTTCCATTGCTTCTTCAAAGAATTCAGTAAACTTCAAGTGTGACTGTTCTTTGCTATATGTTTAGCTGCAAATTTTTTTCTATTACATCCTTGAATAATGATTCTATCATCTGTACTTTCCTGAACTTGCTCTATCTCCATCTTTTGTTGCACAGGAATATTATTAGTTGTTCTCCATTCTTCTGGGATTATATCAGTGTTTGATGATTTGTTATAAGTACATCATAGTGTCTCCGATACCTCTTTCAGCATGTGTAAATCCACTGAATTTTAATGCCTTTTAATTTTAGCGCCTTTTAATTTTAACTAATTTAACAATTTTCTCTCTTCCTTCTACCTGAAATATGTTGTCACATTCTGATCTCTTCTTCTAATATAGCTTTGGTATATGCTGAAGCAAAATAATTATTCAATGTTTCTGTAAATAACAATATAATGTAAGCATAGAAATAGATCAGGTATCAGAAGGCAATTCTTTTCTGAGAGTTGGGATTGTGAAACCTTTTGCTTGTTTATGCAGTGAGCGTAGATTCAATGGACATGTTCAAAAGGGAGCTGATGGGTTTCTACATGAGGCATGCATACATTTAGAAGGGACTTAGGTATTGCATCCATGCCCCCAATCACCTTAGTCTCCCAAAGTCATTTGATCACCTTCAGGGTCAAAGAAAACTGTTCCAGACAATTAGTTTACATCTTTTTGACTGTCTCAGGTGACTTCATGGCCAGTGTGTGGGTGGTGAACAGCAATGGGGTTTAAGATGTGCACAAGTTGAAACTTGATTCTATGGGAGAGGTGTGATGGCTCAGCTGGTGTTTTCCTGCTTGTTTTTGCATGTTTTGTATTTGAGTGCAGAGCTAGAAGACACGCTTAAGTTAACAAACCTCAAATGAGTCTTGAGGTTAGAAGATGCAAAGCCGTTTACTGTCTTTAACTGTTGGATAAATATTTATGGTGAAAATGAAATTTCCACTTCAATATAGACCTGTTTGATAAAATAGCCTCCAAGACACAACGTTAACATGTTAATGGGACTCAAGGAGGGAGTGGTGTCTCATCATCATAATAACAACTCTAAAACTGAGAAATCTATACGGACCTATAAAGATTCTTTTTGCTTAATGCAGAAGCACTGTTTCCCCTGGTTGAAACAAAGTCCAATTTCTAATAAGTGACAGTTTGGGAAAGCCAAACTGTAAGGACCCTCAAATAGTGTCATAAAGTTATAAAGCTATACAACATGGCAACAGGCGCTTTGATCCAACTCATCCATACCAACCAGATATCCTAAATTAATCTAGTTCCCCTGGCCAGTATCTGGCCCATTTCCCTCTAAGCCCTTCCTATTCAAATATCCATCCAGATGCCTTTTAAATTTTGTAATTGTACCAGCCTCCACCACTTCCTCTGCTCATTCCATACACTCTCTATGTGAAAAAAGTTGCCCCTTAGATCTCTTCTAAATCTTTCTCCTGTCACCTTAAACCTATGTCTAGTTTTGGATTCCTCTACCCTGGGAAAAGACCATGGCTACTGATCCTATCCATGCTCCTCCTGATTTTATAAACCCCTATAATGTCACCTCTCAGCCTATTCAGCCTCTCCCTATAGCTCAAACCCTCCAATCCTGGCAACATCCTTGTCAATCTTTTCTGAACCCTTTCAGGTTTCACAACATCCTTCCTATAGCAGGGAGACCCAGAACTGAACGCAGTATTCAAAAAATGGCCTAACCAATGTCCTGTACACCCATAACATGACGTCCCAACTCCTGTAGCCCATGCACTGACCAATAAAGGCGAGCATACCAAATGTCTTCTTCACTATCCTGTTTACCTGTGACTCTACTTTCAAGGAACTATGAATCTGCACTCCAAGGTCTCTTTGCTCAGCAACACTCCCCAGGACTTTACCATGAAGTATATAAGTCCTGCCCTGATTTGCCTTTCCAAAATGCAGCACCTAACATTTATCTACATTAAACTCTGTCTGTTATTCATTGGCCCACTGGCACATCTGGTCAAGATCCCATTGTACTCTGAGGTAACCTTCTTGGCTGTCCACTATACAACCAATTTTGGTATCATCTGCAAACTTACTAACTATACCTCCTATGTTCACATCCAAATCATTTACATGAATGATGAAAAGAGTAATACAGCACAGGAACAGGCCCTTCGGTACTCCAAGGCTATGCCAACACGTTTTGCCCTTCTATTCTAAAACTGTCTTCACTTACAGGATATGCATCCCTCTATTCCCTTCCAATTCAGTTGTGTCTGCTTCCACCATCTCCTGTGGCAGCGTGTTCCAGGCACTCACCACCCTTTGTGTGAAAATCCTCCCTTGCACATCTCTTTCAAACATCCCATCCCCGCACCTTGAACCTGCGTCCTCTGGTAATCGATCCCTCCACCCTGGGAAAAAGGCTCATACTTTCCATCATTCTATTTCCTCATTCTATCCATGCCATTCATAATTTTATAAACTTCTATCAGGTCGTCCCTCAACTTCCTGCGTTCCAGTGAAAACAAACCCAGTCTATCCAAAAGCTTTCTTCGTAGCTAAAATCCCCCATACCAGGCAACATCCTGGTAAACCTTTTCTGCACCCTCTCCAAAGAGGGTTCTTCTGGTGGTGAGGTGACCAGAACTGTCCTCGTTTATACGGAATCCCAGATAAAGCCTCAGTCACAAAGAGAAATCTAACATGGGTCAGGGGAAAGGTGTGCCTTTTTGACTTTTGACCAAAAAGTATTATTGGAACAAAAATAGAAAGGTCTCATTCTGAATCTAACTGCATCATTTACAAGCAAACATAACGCAATCCTATTTTTTACTGTAAAAGTACAGAATTCCGCTCATCAGCACTAAAGCATCTCAGTAGTCAAAAAAATTGACTGATTAGAATAATGATTAATTTCAATCTACAAGAGAAATTAAAATTATGTTTATAAATTAATGGCAACATCAAATGACGGCACATATAAATTTATTTCCCGAATATTAAAGACTGAATTTGTGATTACTTACTCTGTTAGACGGGTGTTGAGTTCGCCAATCTGAATGACATCAAACCATCCTATTTCCTGCCGCAATAATGAATGAAAAAAAGTTTCTCTTATCTTTTGTGTCTGTCTTGCTGCAGCGAGTGACCAGAAGGAAACTTGGACATAGGCAGCAAGCAGAACAGCTGCCCCTAAACCCACGTAGTAATAGGAAAATCTGCAAATAAGGAAGAGATAAATGTTCTCTTGAAAATGAAGCATGTTTTCAGCATGTAGTCAATAAATGGCACTTCAAATAGTCAAGTAATTGCTAATAATTTCATTCCTCTTTAATCTGCTTTACCTACAGCTTTGCAATCACCATCAGTGACCTAGTGGAAATTTGTTGCCTGGGTGTTATCTTAATTGGCGGAGATTACTGGCCACCTTTTGCAGAACTTGCCCATAAATTCAAGAATGAAAATTGGGCAGGTTATCCAAAAGGTCAGAGTGTCAAAAGGTAGCAGTGAAATTTCTTGACCCCTATCCTTTGCTATGGCTATGGCACTTCGGCATTCAAATGGCTATGTTTCTGGGCTCAGTCATTGAATGTGAGATACTGTAACTCATTGTTTGCTCAGCAACAAAATCCCAAGTCACTACAATCATGTATGTAACCAAATAACCGAACATGACATATTCAAGCAGGAATCACCAGAAAGTAATTAGAAACAGAAATCATGGCTTGTTTTCCCTATGTCAGAGGTCATGTTGCCAATTATAATGAGCAAAATTCACTAATGAACTAGTATAATGTATTTACATTAGCAGAAGTTTTACAGCTATTTTCAAAACTAAATCCAAAACATTTTTTCCATATACTTTTAATCATAAACATTTCCATCAAACTATTTATGCATGTTTTAACAAACCTCCACAACAGTTGGAACTTGAATAAAGATCTTCTAGCTTAGAGGAGGATATTACCACTGCACCACATAAACTCTATATGATGTCTACATACCTTGGCTGTTAGTGACTTGAAGTCCAACACGCTACACATTGCACCAAAGAACCAGATTCTACATTTAGCTGTATACCTGCCTATTAAAGTTTGTATTTGTGATCATTTATACAAGCCAGCAAAGCCAAAATCTTATAAAGGTGAATAAATCTACAGTTTTAGTCTAGAAATGTACTTAGTAGATATTACATCTCTTTGTACAATATATATTTACACAACAATTTTACAGGTAATTGTGCACAATAAAATATTTTATTTCAATTTCTTTTCGTTTTTAAGTAATTACTAGAAAAGCTGGGTCAAGTTACCAGCAGCCACATACAGATCACAGGAGCAAGTAATACCAATGTATATGCTTTTGAAGACTTCATACCTTGTCATCTGTTCTTCTAGAGTCTCTGATGCAGCAGTACTTATATTAAGAAGTTCATTTGCTGGAAAACAGTATATTCTAGTTAGTAATATAGTTGGAAGTGATCATTAAGTAAATATCAAGTATTCAATCCTTTGAAAAAAAATACAGAAGTGCAATTTTCTTGGATGTTAACCTGGGAGCCAATTCCCTAAGAGTTAGCTATGAGGCAAGCAACAACTCATCCATTTTTGAAGTAACTGGTTAATCTTCTGTGGACTTACAAATACATTGTTAAGATGAGCAGCATCTTTAAATTGAGCAGGAGGTAACCAAACCATGACCCAGGCATTAATGATGCTAGTAGACAACAGTACAGCAGAGTAGAAGAGATGATAGGGATTTGGAGTGAAAGAACGAGTGATGTTGTCTGTTTATGTTTAATCACAGCCACAACCTCCAGTAGTCTCCTATGGTAGCAGCGATCTTCGTGGTGGAAAAGGTTAATACCAAATTGTTACAAAAGTTGCAAGAGGAAGTGAAATTGTACAGAGTAATACAGGCGATATAGTCAGATGAACTAGCTAGAGTTGTTGTTATTGTCAACACAATACAGGAGATAACTCACCTAATCTAGTTGGAGCTGTTCTGTCAACAGGGTCAATATTTGCACTGACTGAAGAAATCATTTGAAGCTATTGGTTAATTTGTTAAATGTAGAGTCGTTAAACTAACTCAACTGTTAGAAATAACACGACACCAGGTTATAGTACAACAAGTTTATTTGAAAACATAAGCTTTCAGACCGAGGCTCCAAAAGCTTGTGTTTTCAAATAAGCCTGTTGGACTATAACCTGGTGTTATGTGATTTCTGACCTTGTCCACCCCAGTCCAACATCGGCACCTCCACATCATGATTCGATTGTCACAAGGAATTTCAGGCCCAACATTCACAGTCCATGATGACCATGTTTACGCTGTCTGGTAGTGTGTGTTTGCCAAGGGTTGAGGAGTCAATGAGCAAACATCAACTTATTAATTGAGCAATCACAGGCATATCTCTGGCACTTGCTCCCCACCACCCACCCAATCCAATTGTACGATATCGACTGGGTGGAGGGGTTAACATAAGGATGTCCAGTCTGTTACAAACCCCACCACAGACGCCTTGGGAGCTCGTCCATTAAAATAGTTACTCTTGATTTTGTTTCTCAGTTTTGCTGGGATCCAGACCTGGAGAGCATCTAAACACCAAAGCAGTAACAGAGTTTTTATCCTCTCATGGCTGTTTGGAAGATGTCACAAATAATAGAGGCACAATGTAACAGACATTTTCACTGGAGCTACTTGCAAGGAATTTTTGAGTCTTTTGCTTTTCTAGAGCTGAATATATTTTCTAAAGCTTAGAACACAAAGTACAACTGCAGCCTAATCACCAATAGTCTTTATTCTCTTGTGTGCTCACACACAAATGAGATCTGTGTAAATCAGACTGTCTGAGAATTTAGTCTGTGCTGTCCTGTATCACCTCCTCTGTAAAGATAGATAAAATGACCTCTCACTGTGCATGTGATGTTGATTATTATCATGAAGAAAGGGGACTCAACTCTACGCTGTCAATCATCCTAACCCTAGGCTGTCAAAGTAGCTCTTCAGGACAGTGCTGTACCTGCAGTCATCTTTAGCAGTTTCAATGAGCCTCCCAATACCGATAGGTCAGAACTGCAGAAGTGCATTAATGACTGTCATGTTCAGCACAGATGATGAAGCAGCCATCTCCATATGCAATAAGTTCCAAGCAACAAAAAGGACAAGGCCAGTGGGGGCAAAGGACCTTCTCCCCCAGCAAGAGTCCCTCCCAGTTTGGAAGTATATTGTAATTTTTCCATCATGGCTGGGTCAAATCATAGAACTGCCCCAACACCTACCCACCACCACCATCACAAATCAAGTCAAGTCATCACAGTCTTACCAGATCATATGGCTGCTGCATCATTAGAGAGACAACTGGTGCTAATTTAACCTGATGATCACCACACCTCAGGCAATGGGAGAGGTTGAGAAGGAGAGTCCTTCAGAGTAACCTCAAACAGTGTGTGAGGGTTGAACCCCCAGTGCTTCGCAAGCCAACCATCCAGCCAACTGAGTTAAACCAACCCAGCCCCCACCTCCCAATCAAGTAGCCCCAGTCTCCAACAGTACTGTGGGTGTATCTACACCTAATGGACAGCAAAGGTTCAAGAAATTCACAAACATATTCTCCAGGGCGATTAGGATTGGCAACAAATCCTGGTGTTCCCAGTGATACCCATATTCTAGGAACAAAGAAAGATACATGACATTCTTAGTTTAATTGCCTTAGGCCTGTTTTTGAACCTGAAATGTTTTCACTTTAACTGGGTGGTCCAAGGCACATATTTAAGTACTGAGCCTTATTAATATTACTTGGATAAGCAGCCAGTACCTAATATGCTTCTATCGGCAACTTGATAATTTAGGAAGATAAATGACAGGTCACTCATCTTCCTTGATGTAACCCAAAATAAGTCCTGGGAGCAGGGGAATGGGTTGACAATGTTGGTGGATGGGAACACAGTCACTGTTTGCTTGAAGCTGTGTGGCTACTCAAACAGTCCATGCACTCCAATCAGCTTGAGGACGTGTCGACTTCAGTTTGGAAGCTGCTGCCTTGCATGATCTTTAATTTCCTATTTCTGGGATGGAGAAGACCTATTCCCCAACAGCTCCGACACAGTTTAAAATCACTCTGCAGGCTGTTGGCAACTATCTGTGACTTGACCAATATCTTCCTAGTCTGCCTTTGTGTCGTAATACCCATAATGCAGTTAATTCACCTGAGGAGGAAGTCAGTAACTTCCACTTCAGAGGATGCACCAATAAGATTTTCACCTGCACCCTCCACCAGCTCAGAGACTTTCACTTTGCTGGGTTCTCTACCTAGATTAGACTCTGGTACAAATTCTGGTCAGCACATCATTGTTATGTCTCTGCAGCGGGGAGAGGAAGAACTACCTGGGTCTCTGATACTCAGAGGAGTGCTTGAAATCAAACACAAGAAAATCCCCTTTTCTTGACCATTAATGACATCATCAATGTGCACAGACTGCCACAGGAGCAACCAGCAGGTTTGTCACAGGCAATTGGTGAGCTGGACTGAAGGATGGAGAAGTCCGCCAATGTTACTAATACCATGCAGGATCTGTCACAAAGGCATCTCCATGGACATGTTTATGACCACCACAAACAGCCAGATCTCAAGCACCAAAGTGATCCCAAAGTCTGCAGCAGGAAAAGGGAAAGCCTGCAACTGGTTACAAAACTCTCAAACAGGCCTGGGCCTAAAGGCCCTGGGGGTGATGCCCGAGTCTTCCAAGCCAATAGGGCCGGCCACAGAGCAGGTTCAGAAATCAGGACTACGACTTAGCAGTCTGAACACACACAGAAATATTTCCCAGTGACTGAAGGCTCAAAAGAAGGCTCCTCAGCATTCCTTTCAATCTACTGGGTATCTTGACAGATTTCACTACAAAACACGCTGATATGTTATCCTGATAGAGCTTTCTAACTGTACCACCACGCAATATTAATGTACTATCTCACTGATGACTTCTTTCTCCCTAAAAGTGTAAACATATGAAAATAAAAAGTCAATGAGTGCGCACTAAAAAAGCAAGGTGCAGTATGCAGTGGCTGGCAACCTCTAAGTAATGGCAAAGTGAGTGAGTGCTGACATAGCAAGCGAAGAACCACAGAATGCAGCCTGTGCAGATGAATGGGATGTGGGGGTGCCCCTGCAACTTGGCTGCAGCATATAAATCCTAGGTACCCAAGAGCTCCACGGTAAAATGTTTTGAAAGGCTGAAATACAGGGGTGACAGTTGATCCAAAAGTAGGCACGATGATGTGTTGAGGTCACTGGTTTGACAATGCCAACCCGTGTGGACCAATTGTTGAGGAAGAATGGTGACCATGGGTCATGCAAGGACAATCGCTCCAAAGAAGTTGCACAACAAGTGGGTAAAGCATTCAGCAAGCTGCCGTCCCCATTTGGAATTAAATGTCGGGATTTTGTGGGACTTCACTGAGTGGGATGAATGTTTCATTGATGCATAGGGTTGACAGTTCATACATGCTAGTCAAAAGAATGTGACAAATTTTAAGGGTGATACCAGACTTGGCAGTCCATTTGTTAGCACCATGGAAAACAACAGTAGCTAGAAATCCCAGTATAAAAACATTTCCCATTGTCATCTAAAAATAGCTAAAAATATCCGACAAATTTCGAAAGAACCAAAAAATAAAACACAAGTTACTTTAAATCCTGCGAACAATGAAACCAACATTAATGTTAATGCATCTTCGGGACATGTCAAAATAAGGAGTTGCATCAATAAATTTTAAATAAATTATCAGTTGCACAGAATAACAGAATGTCTAGAGAAATAAATGTGTCATAGGTATACACTGAGGTTAAATAATAATGTATTAAATCACAAGTAACAGAGTGGCACCTCTCTAATCAGGAGTATTACATTGTTAGGACATTTTTACAACTACAGGATAACAAAACTTCAGTAATTTTCTCTTCCATGTAGGGCATAGAAAGAGGCTGCTATCTAGTTACATCATGTGAACAAAGTAATCACTCTTAGTAAAGTTCAGCACTTACCTGTTAGGTTTTTCAAAATTTCATTCTGGACGAAGCTGTCTGTCATCTGCCCAAATACTATGACCATGAGAGGCATGCCAGCTCCATGAATTATAGCAGCAACACTACCAAGCACCATTAGAAGTCTGTCTGCACAACTTGCATAGCGAAACTAAAAAAAAGAGTTGCTGTTATTTTTCAAAGCAAAATCACATTAGCACATTCACATTGTTGTTTTAATCATTGAATAGGTACATATTCAAAGTTTACGGCAATCTGCTTCTCAAAATTCAACTCTCACAATTTAAATGTCTTTGCTTAAATCAATGATTGCTAACCATAGCATAATTTTTTACTGAGCTGTAAGGATGAATCTTATGTTTTGTTGGCTAGTACAAGTTGCGTCAAGTTTTTTGGAGGGATTTTCACCCAGCAGGATTTGTATCTATATCTTACCAAATGCACCTCAGTGACAACCTACAATCCCTCACCTCTGATTCTATCCCCATCTTATAATGCTCCAATCCTAGATCAACACATCATTCACCAGATATCTGAAGGACGACCGGCATCCCGTGCACCCATCATAGTGCTTGTCCAGGTCCACTGTTAGTCCAATGGTTCCTAACATTTGTCCTGGATGTGGCATCCACGGAGAAACTGTCACCCCGTTTCATAGGCTGGAACCTGGAGGTCCAGCTGGAGGGGTGACGCACAGGCTGAATGTCCTCTCCCCTCCAGACCAGGAGGAGAGGCCGCAGCACCAGAGTCTGAGGTTCCCCCCAGGTCAGTGCTGTCTCAGCCACCTGGAGGAATGCATAGTACTGTAGGAAGAAGGTCAATGTCCTTCTCCTCTCTGCCAAAGTAAGTATCACTACCTTCTCTCCGATACTTGACACACACTCCACCTCTATTACTGTCCCCACCTCCCACAAAGACTCATGCTCAACCACTTTCACTATTGCCTGAAACATCCTCCTCATTCAAAATTGGAAGGAGTCAAAAGGAAGCTGAAAGAAAACAACTCAATTTCTGTGATCCAGACTAGTGCTTCTGACATTTTGTTTTCCTTCCCCACCTCTTATACATCTTTTCTTGCCTCTTTGTCTATCTGGATAAAATAATTTTTTTTTTTAAAAGGGGCAAAGTTTATGATATAAAGTTACAAGTTAGCAATTCATTTCTTTTTCTTGCCATTGGATAACTATTTATTGTAATTAAACTGCTTTTAATTTCTTGTTTTTGAAAAATCTGAATTAGATATTCTGTAAAATTGCTTAATTCAGTGGTTTAATCAAATCTGCATATTTGTGACAACTCTGGGAATAGTGGGGCTTGATTTCCAGCACATTACCTCAGTGAGCCATGATAGCGTTCATGTCTAGGTAACCCTTTCTTGAATGTCCAATTAATTAGGCTGGTTTGTTCCTTTGCACCAATCGAATACCTCGGGTATTCTTTTGTTTTATTCATTCATGAGATGTGGATTTCACTGGCCAGGCCAGTATTTATTGCCGAGATAGCAAGAACTGCAGAATCTGGAGTCAGAGATAACAAAGTGTGAAGCCGGAGGAACACAGCAGGCCGGGCAGCATCAGCGGAACAGGGAAACAGTATTTATTGCCCTTGCTTGCTGCCCTGGAGAAAGAGGTGGTGAGCTGTCTTGATAATGCACCCAGGGTATGAGGTTTAGTCACATTCTCCTGATCATTATCCTTGATGGATCTTTGCTGCCTCCAACCCACTGGATTTGAATGTAGAAGGTACAATGAAGAAGATTGGGTAACCATCTTTCCTCCAAGCTCAGGTCACTTTTAAGCTCCGTTTTTAAAAAATTTAATTTGGATTTCCAGCTGATGATTTTAAAAAATGTTTATTTGATATAAAGCACATATTTATGAAACATAGCTGACCTTCAGCCTCAAACCTACTTATCCAACTGTTCACGTACCCTTTGATTCACTAACAGCCTAAGAATCTATTTCAGCCTTAACTATATTTAACAAAGCAGTATCCATTATCTACCAGGTTAGAGAATTCCAAAGATTCAATATCCTTTTAGTCAAGAAATTTCTCATTGTCTTAGCCCTAATTAATCACTCCGTCCCCTGATACTGTACCCACTATCGTCTAGATGTCCCACCTTGGGAAAATAACCTCTCAATGTCCACTCTGTCAAGCCTCTTCAGAATAATCTATGTTTCAATGAGAGAACCTCTCACTGTCTTAAACTCTCAAGGATACAGACCAAATTTACTCATCCCAGGGATCAATTTAATGAAGATTGCCTGTACTGTCTCCAATGCTTATGTTCTCCCACTTGTGTGTTGGATCATTGCTGAAGCTTAGCTTGCGAAAATCATACAAGTCATCAGCATGAATTGCTTAAGCATAAGGTTCCTCTACTTTTCCAGATTGGAAGGAGACAAAACTGACATATCACATTACTGTTTACTTTTTCTTGTCACAATACTTGCAGGATTTTTAAAAATTATTCATTCGTAGAAAACGGTCCAACTGTTTTGGTAGATAATCAATGGACGTTGTAGAGAAAATGTGAAGCAGCTTTCAAAGAATATCTGCAAAGCGGAGGAGAAAATGCAGTTCCATTTTGCTAAATGAGGAGACATCAAATGAAATGGGACATTATGGCAGACATTCAATTGGAAGGATCTTTAAAAGGCTCACAGACATGGCCCTTTTTTGGATGCCACGGTAATTTGTAGGCATTCCAGCAAATTTTCAAAACTGATATTTTAAGAGAAACAAAATAACTGCAGAAAGCTCGGATCAGGGAAGTTCGAATGTCAAAGAGTTCTGCCACGCTGTTTCACTGGCATGAACGTTTCCATGGTAAAATAATCTTGCCTCGGCAAACATAGTTCAATTCTCCAATGGAAGTTGCATGTGTCACCAATTGACAGCGCTATATGATACTGGAATGTCCTTCAGAAACAACCCAAACCTAGCATGTCACAGTTTGCATGATGTACAGTAATTAAGAATTGGTCTGATTTTCACACATTACAGAAATAACCAATTCTACAAACTCTGGCTGATTTTGTATTCTGCAATTCAATTAGATCATGGCTGCTCTGAAAATGCATAGGATTGATTGATAGAAGTAACAACAGTCATCTGTAGTTTTCCAAATGATTGTACCTTCCTGTAGGAATAGCGCTATGTTAGCCTGTAAATACAGTATTTTTATGATTGTCCAGTTCACTTTAGTTCTTGCCACATGCTGACACATTACTCATGCGCATTCAACCACTTTGCAGAGCCTTATCATCAATTTAAAACAGGCTAAAATCATGGTTATAGTAAAAGTGCATTCATCCATGATCATTCTTTCAACAAAGATCATAATCTATGAAATGCAACTCTGGATTGATAAATCACCTCTGCCTTTGGCAAACTCAAGCAGGGATTGTGGCAGGAATGAGGGCTTAGTCTGCTAACAAAAGTCACTACAATGATGTGCAAGACAACAAGGTGCAGGGCTGGATGAACACAGCAGGCCAAGCAGCATCATAGGAGCAGAGAGACTGACGTTTCGGGCCTAGACCCTTCATCAGAAAAGGGGGAGGGGAAGGGGGTTCTGAAATAAATAGGGAGAGAGTGGGAGGCGGATAGAAGAGGGATAGAGGAGAGGATAGGTGGAGAGGAAACAAACAGGTCGAACAGGCGGGTTGTTTATCACAATCAGCAACTTGATCAGTTCCACTGACACCACCAATGACCACTCAACAGCAGAGACCATAGAATGCAGGAGAAGAAATAATTAACTTGACCCATCGTATCCACTCCAACACTCAATGAGATAATGGCTGATCTGATAATCATCAACTCCACACTCCTGCTTTTCCCCTGTAACCTTTGATTCCTCTACCGATTAAAAATCTGTCTATCTCGGCCTTGCTTATACGTACTAACCCAGCCTTGACAGCCCTCTGCAGTAAAGAATTCCAAAGATCATTACCCTCTCATAGAAGAAATTCCTCCTCATTGCTGTCTTAAATGGATGATCCCTTACTCCGAGCTTTTTCCCTCTAGTTCTCGACTCTCCCAAAACGGGAAACAGCCTCTCCACGTGTATCCTGTCAAGCCATCTAAGAATTTTATACATTTTAATAAGGTCACTCTTATTCTTCTAAACTTAAATGAGTAGAAGACCAACCTGCTCAACCTCTCCATGCCTGAGATCAATCTAGTGACCCTTCTCTGGGCTGCCTCCAATGTCAGTCAGTCCTTCCTTACATAATGGGACCAAAACTGTTTACGGTATTGCAGCTGTAGTCGGACTGGTGCCTTGTGTAGTTTCAGCAAGGCCTCCCTAATTTATTCTGCATTCCCTTTGAAATAAATTCCATTCCATATGCCTTCCCTATTTTCCTACAAATTTAAACGCAAGCTTTTTGTCATTCATCCACTAAAATCTTCAAATCTCTGCAATGCAGCTTTCTTCATTCCTTCTCGATTTAAATAATACACAGCTCCTTTACTGAACTTGCCAAAACACATAACCTCACAATTTCCGATATTATTTTCCATCTGTCATGTCTTTACCAATTCACTTAACCTTTCTATATTTCTCTATAGATACGTTGCGGCTTTTTCACTGCTTGCCTTCCTGTTTATTTTTGAGTCATCTGGAAACTTGGCAATAGCACATATTTGTGGCCCCAGTACTGATCCCTATGGCACTCCTCTAGTAACAAGTTGAAATCCTGAAAACGTGTCCATTTTCCCAAGTCTCTATTTTCTGTTGGTTAGCCGATCCTCTATCCATGTTAGTGTACTACCCCAACACTATGGGCTCTTATCATATTAAGCAGCCTTGTGTGCAGTACTTACATAAATGCCTTTGGAATTCCAAATATATTACATCCCTGGTTCCGCCTTATTTACCCTGCTTGTTACCTCCTCAAAGAACTCTAAAAATTTGGTCAGGCATCATTTGCCCTCATGAAGCCACACTGACACTGCTTGATTATATTATGTGTTTCTACGTCTTTTATAAGGACTCAAATATTTTCCCAAATGACAGATTTTAACCTAAATAAAAACTGAAAGAACTGCGGATACTGTAAATCAGCATCAAAAACTGAAATTGCTGGGAAAGCTCAGCAAGTCTGGCAGCATCCATTGAAAGGGTCACTCAACCCAAAA